AAATACCACTCTACACTCTGTCATATCGTGCTTTAATGAAACATTGATGTCTAAATCCGAATTTGTCCCCATTTTCTGACTTTTGCGATTCGTTGTGCAGAGTTGCGTCCCCTGGGCATGTCAGAAACCTGTGGTCGTTGGTTCGCAATCTGGTTCGCCCCGATTATGTTTCAAGGTTTGTCAGCAGCTTACCCGTGCTCGTGGGTTTCACCGAAGTGGTAAACGTCTAAGACCTGCATCACTTCTGGTTTCCTCCAAGTGTAAACCGTGACCATTGTATGGCATTACATCGAGCTACATCAACGATTTCTGTAAACTGTGACTTTTTGCACGTGGCATTACGTCAAGCAGCAACAACGGTCCACGTAAACCGTGACCATTGTATGGCATTACATCGAGCTACATCAACGATCTCTGTAAACTGTGACTTTAAGCACGTGGCATTACGTCGAGCAGCAAAAATGGTTCATGTAAACCGTGACCATTGTATGGCATTACATCGAGCTACATCAACGATCTCTGTAAACTGTGACTTTATGCACGTGGCATTACGTCGAGCAGCAGCAATAACTGTCCATGTTAACTGTGACCAGTGTATGGCATTGCATTGCATCGAGCTATTTCAACGATCTCTGTAAACTGTGACGTTTTGCATGTGGCATTGCATCGAGCTGCAACAACGGTCCATGTAAACTGTGACTTTATGCACGTGGCGTTGCATCGAGCTGCAACAACGGTCCATGTAAACTGTGACTTTATGCACGTGGCGTTGCATCGAGCTGCAACAACGGTCCATGTAAACTGTGACCATAGTGCTATTAAATTAGAGAGCGTCACAATGCAAAGGACACTAACTTGATACTGAAAGCTGTCACAAGACCAAATATTTTTGACGCCTGACATATAAATCAGGAAAGGAAACCTGTAGGCACCGTCAATATCTTCACATATTCCCAACTGTGCTTTGTAATAGTCTGATCTAATTTTGAACACATGTCTAAAATACTACCGATACCTGCTGACACGTTGGTACAAGAACACAATGTTTCTCCGGAAGGTCGCGAATACATAATCATGACAAAGGCACAAAGGAGCAGAGGAAACAATTGAACACGAGAGGAAATCCCTTAGTGCGGACACCCAACAAACGCAATAGCTTAGCGGCATTAAGCAATAATATGTCACAAAATTAAAGTTAAAGTTTACACGATATGCGGCTTTTCCATTGGATAGGAGGCCGGTCACGTGACCGCGAAACTAACGTTCATAAGCGTATGAACGACACAATTCGTTGTTGTTTGTTTGTTGTTTAACGCCTCACTTAGCAATACTCCAGCTATATGACGGTGGTCCTGAAATAATCGAGTCTGGACCAGACAATCCAGTGACTGACATCATGAGCATCGATCCACGCACCTGGGATACGATGACATGCATCAACCAGGTAAGCGAGCCTGACCACCCTATCCCGTTAGTGGCTTCTTAGGACAAACATAGTCGCCTACGACACAATTTGAACATACATACGCTCATGTCACCTCTCTTTTTAGGGAACTATTTTATTCCACGATACAGCTGGTTGTTGTATGGCTGTCAGTGTAAAGATGAAGTAATACGTATAGATCAAGCGCTACATCCCTCGAGGTATAAGACAATGATATATAAATTCCGACGTTCGTACAGTTTGGCCCACCATGCCCCAGCCCGGGCTAGGTTAAAACAAGAATTGCAGTTAGATCCGCTATCTGTCATAGATCTCCTAAAGCCAAGAGATGCAAAAGCGAAGGCCAAACTTATTTATTTCTGAGAGATGGACAGCTACTCGAACGTATATAATAAACAGAGCAGCCAAGGATAAAAATGAAATCATATCAATATAAGAAAATAGAAATCATATCAATACAAAAACAGAAATTATGTGAACACCAAACTCACAATCGATATGTGTACCCTACTCACACACAGGAGTCCCAAAGAGGGACAGGTCAGCCGAAATTGCCTAGGCAGAAGGCGACCTCTTAAACACTTAATGCAACAACAACAGTTTGGCCCTCACTCTATGAAGGTTCATGCTCCAATGAAGTCACCCAAAGTGAAAGTCAGTTCTTAATCAACTCGCTAGCTCACAATCACCGATCAAGCGTGATGCGGCGTCAGTCAGTGCGGTCGGTGGTAGCAACCACCCATTACAGCGATATCCATGCTAGACACATCTCCGGGTACTCATAGTGATACTTCATGCCTATTAGGATACAGTCTTCTAACTCTACATCCTGTGGGTTTGTTCGCGCTATGTAAATAATCGGCGGTCTGTAAATAATCGAGTCTGGACCCGACAATCCAGTGATTGACATCATGAGCATCGATCCACGCAATTCTATTTGTATCTATGTCTATCTTCTAACTTACACGTACCAAGTTTACTTCCGTGTTATACAAGCAACTGGTCAGTTCTTCATATTAAACGTCACACGACTACAAATGGGAATCACACATTGTACCCATGTGGAGAGTCGAACCCAGGGGCTGTACTCATAAACTTTCTAAGATTGCTTAAGAAATCTTAAGAAAAGTCTAAGTCATTAAAGCAGGTTACCAACGGAAATGCCGCTTTTCAAAATACCACTCTACACTCTGTCATATCGTGCTTTAATGAAACATTGATGTCTAAATCCGAATTTGTCCCCATTTTCTGACTTTTGCGATTCGTTGTGCAGAGTTGCGTCCCCTGGGCATGTCAGAAACCTGTGGTCGTTGGTTCGCAATCTGGTTCGCCCCGATTATGTTTCAAGGTTTGTCAGCAGCTTACCCGTGCTCGTGGGTTTCACCGAAGTGGTAAACGTCTAAGACCTGCATCACTTCTGGTTTCCTCCATAGTAAGCTGGCACTCTGTGCTATAACTGGAATACTGATAAAAGCAGCTTATACCAAACTCACTCACTCATTTGACTTCTAAAATGACAATTCTACTTTCGAAATAACCGACGTGTGGAAGCTGTTTATCGAACAATAAAACACTGCAGAGAGAATAAACCAAGGGTGCGCATCCCTACGTGCTTTATTCTCCTCTGCAGTATTTTATTATACCGATAACAACTTCCACTTGTCGGTTATTTCTTATATGAGATACCAGCATTTTGTACAGCCTCTTTAAGGATGTTAATACAAATACAAGCTTTAAAAATGCTTGGCCTAATTTTACTTATGATGACCTAAATATAATCCAACCTCGGCAATGTCGGACAAGTCCAAACAGGGGAATACAGTTTCGTATTTCCCGCATACGAGGGCTGGTCAAAAAGTTATAAGTTTAACAAACAAAACCAACAATTGTGAAAGTATTTTTAATTTTATTTTTCAACATAATCCCGTCCGTTTCAATACACTTCTCATATCAATAGTGAAGCTTTTCAATTTCAGTCAGGAAGAAGTTTTTTTAAGCCACCAAGAAAAACCCATTCACGGCAGCTTTGAGGGCATCGTCGTCGTTACTAATCTATTTTTTTTTAATTTGACGAAATCCTCAACTATCTCTAAATTTTCTCTGGCAATGTCAGTTTTTTTCCCTTAAGATCAGAATTTAGAAACTTTGGCACCCAAAGAGAAGATATTCATCTGTTCATGGACAATAGTTTCAATGGATCCATGACTTAGACCTGTGTCTTCCTCAAGTTCAACAATGGTAATACGTCTATCTGACTCTATAAGTTTTTTTATCTCCTTAATTGAATCTTCATTGATGGAAGTTGAGCGGCGTCCAGACCTAGGGTCATCATAAAGGTTTGTTCTCCCAGCCTCAGATATAGCAGCCAAACTGTGGAATAGCTAGGGCACTTATCCACATACACTTGGGGATATGAATTTCTTGGGGAGTACTTTTCTCTAAAGTAAAAAAACTTGATGACTGCTCGGTACTCGTTCTTTTCCAGTCACGTCCAACTGGCTGTCACTTATATACACACGGCTTCAACGGGCCAAATACACTGGCAATGAGCTACTTTTTGACCAGCCCACGTAGTCTCATAATTCTCACGTCGATTATCTGTAACGTTTCTCCCAATACCGATTGCCATATGTCGCCCACTTTTGCATGTGATCTTTCGACCACTTGCGTTGTTAGGGAACAACTTACTTCCCCTCTCAAAAATAATGTCGTCCAATATATATCGTCATCAAGTTGCGAGCGTATGTACGAATCTCCAGAAATGACGTCATGATTAAACAATGTTTTATCGTGGCATTAACCACACTTCGTTCTTCATTGTTATTTGCGATTTGTGTTTTTATATGACCTAGGTAATACCTGTCACCGGTGTTTCTAGGATATTCATTGTAGTTTTTATATTATTGGCTATGAACAATCACAAAATTGTCAAAATTAGCAAACATTAGAGTAGCGGGGAAGCCACATCATAAGTTATATTCTTTTGAACACCGATGATATGTAATGTTCACATCATAGTCAAAGAGTACTAATATTTCTATACTGAGCACAGGATTTACATCAGATACAGAGGACAGTCCCTATAAGAGCTTCTCTCCGCGCTTTACTTTGCTCTTAGGTAAACGTTACTCTTAAAGCTATTATAACTATACTCTCAGCTAACAATTTTCTAAGCGACATTCTCAAGGATTTCATGGCTTCGTCGAGACGAGCTTTACTAGGTTACCGAACCGCGATCAGAGATGACAGGTTTTATGTGTATTATAATCATAAACATGAGCTACCTCTTGTATCAGATTGTATTCAAAATATTCTTCGCAAAAGGATGGCTTCGTGACTCAATTTCTGAAAAGTCTTTTACTCATTAATTGAAACTGCAAACGAAATCCCGTCTGAAGGAAGACTACTTCGATACCATGAGTCAAGCTGTTGTGGTCTGAAATAAGCTGCTGCCTGCTGCCCTACTCCTGCCTGCGTCTTGATCACTGTGCCGCCGGAGTAACGTCATTGATCGTCTTGGGCGTGGGAGCCGCGCACAGTCTAGATTGAGGGCTGCATGTAGTCGGCGGCGGAGCGGGTCTTCTCAGTGCCTTTTGCCGGCAGCAACACTCCAGCACGCGACTCGCTCCTCGCTCGTGCTACTCTCTATCTCCACGAGCTCACGTGCAGGGCTACAACAGCGAGCGTGCTGCACGAGCGTCTCGACCGGTGTGTGTATGTGTGTGTGCAGACGAAGCTGTGTGGATATACCAGACGACCAGCACCACCATGAGCAGGTAGGTGGAATTAGCTTCTCTCTGGTCTGTAGTCGCTGCAGTATCCAAGCTCAGGCCTACTCCCCTCTCTCACTCGCAACACACACCAACCTCCTTCTTTCACTTCATGATTGACGAACCGGTATATTTGTGTCTGGATCTCTCTACATCCTTTTGTCCTCCCAATCATCATGACTGCCGATGACAAATGTCAACGCTTTTCCAGATACTCACACACTCCTCTCTTCTTCCTTTCTCCTCTCCGTTCTTCTCTCTATCATCGCTTGGAGCAGTAACACAAATCAATATTCTATTACCTCGTTCGCCTTTATCAGCTGGTAACACCAGTGAGCACAATGACCGCATTTGTGTTGGAAATACTACAATCTTCTCTCTATCATGTCCCGATCACATCGCAGTCTTGTCAGCTGCAACGTCGTGCGTCTTTCAGATATAAGGGGCGGTCGGGTAGCCTAGTGGTTAAAGCGTTCGCTCGTCACGCCGAAGACCCGGGTTCGATTCCCGACATGGGTACAATGTGTGAAGCCCATTTCTGGTGTCCCCCGCCGTAATATTGCTGGAATATTGCTAAAAGCGGCGTAAAACCATACTCACTCACTCACTTTCAGATATATTCGCTGACTGAACTGCAAAGGACACACCAGGAAATTGGATTTGACCAAATAACTACAAACGTTATCAAACCGTTACGAGGCTGAAAACAGTCGCCGAAACACTGCAAACCAAAGGTCCAAAACACATATAACCGTATCAAATTAATCACTCCCGAATAACCTTTTCTTGTTTGTTTTGTTTTAACCACCATCAAACATGGGTGTATATTTTATTCTGCCTTTCAGTTTAGTTCTATCAAGCTCATATTAATTATTGTTCCTGTTAGGGCGACCCGTGGAGATCCAGGTTAGAATAGGTCACTCTCTTGGGATTCAGGGGATATTTTGTTTCATAAATAAGAGACAACACTACATAATTTCATCTGTGGGAAAATTTTCAGAAGTCAATCATCATGATTTGTTTCCTTGTACCGCGTTCTCGCATGTCGCACATGGTTAAAGGTTATGCAATATAAATTGAAATGTTTTTTGTTATACGTAACCGCACTGAACAGGAAAAAGTGACACTAAATGAGTGCAATTTGAGTTTTGAAGAATGACATGTCGACGTGAATGCTAAGTTTCAGGCGCTCCAACTGCAATCCTTGGTGTATTCGCAAGGGGGCTGAAAATTATGTTTGAACGCATGCTGATCGGTTGGTCGGGAAATAAAATATCATCCTCTGAGCCCTGCACTACTTTCATGATTATTCCATGATAAACATGATTGCCTTTTGGAGACATTTTCATGGACTGTTCCTTGATGACAGTCATCGTTACTGTAAGGGGCGACGGTGTCGTTACTATGAGGACATGTTTTTTTCTCTTTAAACCGAAGAGCCGAACAATTCTTTTTACACTATACATTTTTTTCAGTACATTTTACGAGAAAACCTGAGGCATATTATTTTCTTCATATTTGTTAAAACACCACTCAAACACCTCTAAAACTCACTGAAAACACTACTGAAGATACTCAAATACGCTAAAGATATTACGTGATGTCGTTTAATATATTTACCCTAGGATCCCTGTATAATAAAAGTTATTTATCCATTTCCATAATCATAAGAAATCCCTACTAAAAGCAGAGTCCATTGTACGATTCTGACTACATCATAATCATGTGTTTATGAATCACTATCAAAAAGTGATTATAACAGCTATTCTTGAAAAACCAAACCGCGCCAAGGACGAAAGAAAATATCGAATGTGGACTTGCTTATCTCTAAGTATGTATATTACCAGAAAATCGACATATTTAGGATCGCAACGAAGCCTACTCTAACGAAACCTTTACTAATCTCATCTTGTATTATGGTGTTGTAAAATAGGAATTACTTGATAGCTTGAGGAAAATACACAAATAACTCCTATCGTGAGGTTTAACGTCGAATATGAACCTGTTGATAGCTTGAGGAATATACTCAAATAACTCCTATCGTGAAGTTTAACGTCAAAAATGAACTTGTTGATAACCGAAATGGAAAGAGCTCTGGCGCAGTACGTGTATGCCCTTGCTTCTCCTGGATCTCCTCGGGAAACATCACTGCAGTTGTGGCGATATCTCATAGATTGATTCTTATCACGTCTTTCAGTCACATTATTAATCTCACTCAATAGTGGATTTTATAGAGCCATTAACATGTTCTTCACCTGTCGACGATCAGGACAATCGGGCAGCACAACATTGGAAATACAGACACTAACAGTAAACTCACGTCAAATCTCGCGAGGATTCGCCAAGGGAGGAAAATTCGTATCCTGTCATATCATTCATTCTAATAATCTGTCTCAATTACGTAGAGATTTCCCGATCCCCTGACGACTGACGGGCGAAGCTATGGGTGTCCGAGGAATCTCGTGTACGTGGAATAATACGTGAGGATGGGATGGCACCGCTGGATGAGTGTGTAGATTTAACAGAACCATGTGGAGTGTGTGGTGTTATCAGTTTATCGTAAACCTACCACTAGCTTTCACATGATAGGAACGTTCGTCAGTTTTATCATCCCGTAAATAAAAGCGACAAAAACCGTATCCATGTTCATAAGAAAGTCGATTGTACGATCCCGACTATATCGTGAGCATAATTATGTTTATGAATCATTATCAAATAGTGATGATACCAGGTATCGCGAAGAGGTGAGTTCATGCCCCACCGGTGGCACCCGTCACAAACACATGCAAAGGCAAGTCAATTGTTAAAAAAACCGGGAACATATGGTCAAAATAGGGAATGGCATCGGACATTATTTTTGTCACTTCTGCGTCAAATTTGGAATTGTCCTCCACATTTCTACCATAAAACATTTTGAAAGCTTTACTGAGGCCTTGAATGTTGTAACCTTGATCCAGCAACCTCTGAGCAAGAATCGTATGACGCTGTTTGAAATCTTGATAGAAAGAGCGTTCGCGATTGTATCTCAAAAGTTGTGAAATGTGAACACCAAAGGCGGGAGCTTCTGGAATATTGCTCGAAATGAAGGGAAAGTTGACTTTTGGAAAGTTGACTTTTGGAAAGTTGAAGTCATCCCTCTTGTCTTACAGTATTGTGGAGATTGTTTTGTCACTCTGAATCTTCATGCATAGATCCAATTATGAAACAGATGAGGCGGTCCAACTGCATGGCATCTTTTATTTCTAGTTCAGTCGGGTAAATCAGTGGAAGGGAATTGGCTATATGATGGTTATTGGACGGTATCAGATCATCGATATAACTGAAGCTTAAGTTGAACTTCATGACCAAATTACCTTGTTTTGACTTTGCCAATTCAAACAGAAATTCTGATTCATGTGCGTAAAGAAACAGATCCGTAAGAAGGGGAGCACAATTTGTGCCCATGGGGATCCCTACTTCTGGCCTGAATGTCTTACCCCCAAATTTTACATAGCATCTGATGTAATCACATATTGTTTTCTCAGTATGGCATTTGCTTTCATTTTTGACAAATTGTCCCGAACCTCTGAATATATACTGAGTCAAATTAAAAACTTCACATTTTAAAAAGTAATCCCATATATGATATACAACGGACAAATGTATCAGAGAAGGTCATTAATGTCCAAAGAAGGATTTTAATTAACGGTGGTAACCATAATTTGTTCCAAGCACCTACGGTATTCAGTATTAACATCAACAGTTTAAATCATAAGTCCCAAGCACGAGAATCTGATGGCACACAAGTTCAGTAGCGTGTATGACCTATGTGCGTTGACAACTGCGACACAACGCCTCCGCATGGACCTTGTGATGCTTGTGAACACATGATTGGGAAGACGACGCCATTGTTGCTGCAAAATGGTGCCAAGATCTTGCAAATTCTGTGGTTGGTTCTGGAGAGTGCGCAGACTTCTGCCAAGAGCATCCCAGACGTGTGCGATGGGATTGAGGTCGGGAGACCTTGACGGCCAGTCCATGACGTTGACTCCCGCATTCTGAAGGAAATTCCTTGTCAAAGTTGCTGTGTGGGGTCTGGCATTGTCGTGTTGGAAGATCAAACCGGGTCCATGTGCTGCCATAAAAGGCAGAAGTTCTGGTGCCAGTACCTGGTCGCGGTAAGCAGCAGCGTTGAGGTTACCACGGATGACAAGAAGCCTGGAACGTGCATTGCCACAGAAAGCACCCCACACCATGACACTTCCGCCTCGAAATCTGTCAACTTCCTGTACACAACACTGGGCGTAACGTTCATGACGGGGCCTCATCGCCCTACCATCAGCAAATCGAAGATTAAATCGGGATTCATCACTGAAGACGACTTGATTCAAATTCCTCTGAGTCAATCGTAAGTTTCACTTTGCCCACAATTGACGTTGACGTCTGTGTAATTGAGTCAGAATCGGCCCGCAGTATGGCCGTCGTAGATGTAGAGGTAAAAAATCGGTTACGGAGGTGATGTTAGACAATCTGACGATCCTCTGCATGTGACGTCACACGCGGTCGATCTGGCCGAGGGCGATCAGCGGTGGTACCTGTTTGCTGTAGACGCGTCTGTAAATCATAAACAGTCCGTCGACTTCAACCCATCGTTCTTGCGACTTCAGCTACGGACGTTCCCGTCTGCAACATGCCGATGGCACGTTCACGTTGCACATTTGAAAGGCGTGGCATGACAAATGGCCGTAAAGACTTTTGTTTTCTTGTGTTTTTCTTTTTTTTGTTAATGACTGCTAACAAGTATGGCTGAAAACACGTGCGGTATTATGGCCACGTGGCCAGTTGCACGTGAAAAAACACTTTTGCCACTATAGTGCTGTGCACATAATTTTGATCACCTGCACAAAAACGGGTGTTATCTGAATACAATACGTGGCCATTACTGTTTAAATACACAATAAGGGCCCACAATGATAACTGGTCAAAATGTTAAAATTTTAGGATTGTGAAGTTTTTAATTTGGTTCA